TGTAGTGTGAGTTAAATTTCCACCCTGCCACATTAGCTATTGGCTGGACTTCAGGCAGAATCAAAGGGCAAAATGAGTTTGAAATTAGGCATGGGAACGTCCAGCTAGCCACAGAAGTACAAGAAGACAAAATTAAATGAAAAACACACAAAACCCCTTTTCTCTTTCTTTTTTTAAAAATTTAATTATTTATTTTGAGACACAGGGCGTGCATGAGTGGGGAAAGGGCAGAGAGAGAGAGAGAGAGAGAGAGAGAGAGAATCCTAAGCAGGTTCTGTACGATCAGCACAGAGCTCGATGTGGGGCTCTATCTCTGGACTGTGAGATCATAACCTGCGCTGAAATCAAGAGTCGGATGCTTAACTGACAGAGCCACCAAATGCCCCCCTCTTTTCTTTTTTTTTCAGCTTTACTGACACAAAATTCACATACAATATAATTTGTCCATTTAAAGTGTATGACCCAACAGCATTTAGTATGTTCATAGACTTATACATCCATTACCACAATCTATTTTAGCACACGTTCATTACCCCAAAGAGAACATACACACCCCTACCCTCTGCCATCACTCTAGGCAACCACTAATCTACTTTCTCTCAGTACAGATTTGCCTATTTAGAAATCTCATATAAATAGAATCATAAATATATGGTCCTTTATGACTGTTTTCTCTCACTTAGCATGTTTTTATTTATTTATTTATTTTTTAATTTAATTTAATTTTTTTTTTTTTTTAAATTTATTTATTTTTGGGACAGAGGAGACAGAGCATGAACGGGGGAGGGGCAGAGAGAGAGGGAGACACAGAATCGGAAACAGGCTCCAGGCTCCGAGCCATCAGCCCAGAGCCCGACGCGGGGCTCGAACTCACGGACCGCGAGATCGTGACCTGGCTGAAGTCGGACGCCCAACCGACTGCGCCACCCAGGCGCCCCACTTAGCATGTTTTTAATATTCATCCATGTTTTAGCATGTATCAGTACTTCATTTCTTTTAACTGATAAACAATATTCCATTTAATGGACTTACCACATTTTATTTATCCATTCACCAGCTAATGGACATTTAGGCTGTTTTTATTCTTTGGCTGTCATGATTAATGCTGCATGAACATTCATGTACCAGCTCCTGTGTGGACATATCTTTTCATTTTTCTTGGGTATACCTAAAAGTGGAATTGCTGAATCATATGGCAACTCTATGTTTGACTATTTGAAGAAATGCCAGACTGTCTTCCAAAGTGGCTACACCATTTTCCATTCCCATCAACAGTGTATGAGGGTTCCAATTTCTCCACATTCTTACCATTCAGTTGCTATTATCTTTTTCATTATAACCTCCCACCCCCTATTTAAAAATCTCAAACAGATCTTCTGATCTTTGGACCTGGAAAACTGAACCAGTTCCCTGGTTAGCAAAGAAAGGCAAAATTCTGAGCACACACATGCCTAATGAGCAAGCAGGAAGAAAAGACCAAAGATGTCTGGATGTCTGGGGAGTCATGGGGGAGCCAGGGCATCCAGTCCCTTCAGACTGTAAACAAAAGGAGGCCTGGATTGAGATTGCTTCTACCTGCACTTGTTTGAGGCATGACTAGGGCATGATATGTAGGTAAGAGAAGATGAGTAAGGGTTGTAATTTCACTTGAAAATTAACTGGAGAGAGGAATATGGAGCCAGTGCTAAAGTGAAACTATTATCTTCTCTCCTCCATTCCTACTTGGTATTTTTCCACCAGAGTACATACTGAAAACCTTGGGGATATCCTCTACCTTTAAAGTTCTATGATTCCATGACTTTCTTCCTGTAAGTGCAATTTAAATTGATCATGCAACTCATCATCAGGGAAATACAAATCAAAACCACAATGAGATACAACCTCACACCTGTCAGAATGGCTAAAATTAACAACTCAGGAAACAACAGATGCTGGTGAGGATGCAGAGAAAGCGGAACACTTTTGCACTGCTGGTGGGAGTGAAAACTGGTGCAGTCACTCTGGAAAACAGTATGGAGGTTCCTCAAAAAATTAAAAATAGAACTACCCTACAACCCAGAAATTGTACTACTAGGTATTTATACAAAAATGCTGATTCAAAGGGGCACATGCACCCCAATGTCTATAGCAGCACTATCAACAATAGCCAAATTACGTAAGGAGCCCAAATGTCCACCAACTGATGAATGGATAAGGAAGATGCAGTGTATATATATATATACATATATATATATACCTGTATATGTATATATATACACACACAATGGAATATTACTCAGCGATCAAAAAGAAAAACATTTTGCCATTTGCAACAACATGGATGCAAAAAGAATGTGTCATGCTAAGCGAAATAAGTCAGTCCGAGAAAGGCAAATATCATAGGATTTCACTCATATGTGGAATTTAAGAAACAAAACAGATGAACATAGGGGAAGGGAATAAAAAATAAGATAAAAACAGAGAAGGAGACAAACCATAGGAGACTCTTAAATACAGAGAACAAACTGAGGATTGCTGGAGGGGAGGTTAGGGGGGATGGGCTAAATGGGTGATGGGCATTAAGGAGGAGGGCACTTTTTGGCATGAACACTGGGTGTTATGTAAGTGTTGAATCACTAAATTCTACTCCTAAACCATTATCATACTATATGTTAACTAACGTGGACTTAAATTAAAAAAAAATAAATTGATCGTTCAATGTTATCTTTTATAAATAGAGGCTTTATCTTAATAAGATTCAGTTTAAGTGTTTTTAATGGTTTTAAAAAATATTTTTACTTTTTGTAAACCTGAAACTAACATAATATTGTATGTCAACTACACTTTAATTAAAGAAAATTCTACTTTTAATGTTTCCTGAAGCTTGTTGAAATAGAACTCTATCTATAGCATTAGTGCTTCCTGGAAGTCACTAAAAGTTCCTAAAAGTCTACCTAAGAAAAAAGATGAATATAGTTAAGAGGAAAAAAGTACATTTATTCTTTGGAAAGTACACTGATTACTATACAGCTAGTTAGAGAATTGTGTTCTTTCACCCTTGAGAACTGTGCCATGGAATAAATTAATTTCTTTGAACTGAAATATAACTACCACATCTGAAAATAGGAAAAAATGTATTAAAAGGAGGGAGGATTCAAAATAAGAAGGGCCAATGCCAAACAAAATACCAACCAAGCAAATTGGAAGACATTACACATACTCTTCCTTACTTAACATGGAAGGAAATTGCAGTTATTATTTGGTTAATAAGGCACTTCCTGGGCCTGAAAGTTACTAGCTCTTCCCTTCAACATATATTTGCTGTGCAACTGCTGTGAGCCGGAAACCTTGTTAGCTTTGTTAACTGCCAAAATAAATAAGAGAGTCTCTGCTGGCAAAGAGCAGCAGAGGGCCTGGCCTCTGCCAGGCAGATGCAAACTCATTATCCAGCTGCAATCCATTCTACGGCTATGATAGGCAAGAAGCAGAGTGAAGATGGTGAAGAGGAGTTATTTACAGTTACCTAAACTGGGGTAAGAAGGGGAAGAGGAATGTGATGGCAAAGGAAGAGAGGGGTAAGGGGATGACCAGCGAACCTGGCTTCATAAGGAAAGGGAAGGATTTCACCAAGCAGAGAGAGACCAAGACATTTGTGAAAACATTCTAGTGGGAAAGCAAATGTTTTGGAGATTTATAAAGTTTAACCATATGAAAATGTCAACGGTCAACCATTTTTGGCTGATAAAAATAGCACATTCATACAGTTTCAACTCATACAAAACAAAATAATCCCCAGGATGTGTAGGGTGAATTCTTAGGACTTATAGGAGAATTAGATAGACAAGAAGTTGGGGTCAGAGTAGAAAGAACCTAGAATTGCCTTCTAAGGTTTAGACTTTATCCCATAGGTGATGGAACAGTCAGTTCACAAAAGAACTTTTGACAAATGACCAACACATATATTTTTAAATGTTTAAAGAAGTTCAGGCCTAAATGAAAACTGTCTATCATTTTCAATATCACAAAGAAAAAAATTTTAATGACAATATTCAATGCTATTAACGCCTGAGGGAAACAGGATGCTCCCTCACACTACTGTGTGTGTAAACTGGAATAATCTTTCTGGAAAGCAATCAGAATACCCTTTGACTAAGCATTCTACTTTTAGGACTTTATCCCAAGGAGAGTCATGGCTATTAAAACAAAAACAAAAACAAAAACAAAAACAGTTTATGGGTGCCTGGGTGGCTCAATCAGTTAAGCATCTGACTTCGGCTCAGGTCATGATCACACGGTTCGTGAGCACGAGCCCCACTTTGGGTAAGCCCCACTTCTCTCTCCCCTCCCTCTGTCTCTCTGCCTCTTGTGGGATTCTCTGTCTTTCTGCCCCTCACTCACTTGCACCCTCTCTCCCAAACAAACAAACAAAAAGTTTAGGCAACAGGATATTCTTAATGTCCAAAAATAGCAAGTAAAACAAATCAGGAATCATCCTTATAATTGAACACTATGCAGCTATATTAAATATTTAGATGAATATTTAATAACATGGCAATGCTCATGAAATTTTGTCTTATGAAAAAATCAGTTATGAAACAGTACATGTATCAGATAGGGCTCTTAAGAACTAGGTCAGACTGACCAGATTTGAATTTCAAGACCATTTAAAGTCCTGCGACCTTGAGCAAGTAACTTAACCTCTTTGTGGCTCAGTATCATCATCTATAAAATGGGGATAACGCTAGTACATACACAATGAGTTGCTGTAAATATTAAATGAATTAATATACATAAAGCATACTTTACATGTAAATATACTTTGAAATTTTCCTGGCACATAATTAGCACTAAGAGTTAGTTATTGTTAATATCATTAGTATGTGTTGCCAGTAAATTAAGTCAACTTTTAAGCTAATTTAAGAAGTAAAGGTGGAAAGATAAACCACTGGGCAAGAACCACACCCAAAGCACTCTGAAAAACTGGTTTTGTGAAGTCATTACCACAGCTGCCAAGCACCGACCTCGTAATTTGCAATGCCAAGTCCTTGGATGCTGGACACTGCACACTGCCACAGAACAGCTGTCTCTCCCACCACTGGAAACCGGATGCAGCTGCCATTGCTGCTATGCCCTGGCCAGAACGGATTCTGCGTCATCCCTGCTGCTTTGAGTCACCAGTTCTTGAATCAAAGTCTAGAGAGGATGCATCTGCTTGGCTGCACCAAGTCCCGAGTTCCCAGATGTAAGAGAGGTCAAGAAACAGAGCAGTGAGCATTTTTATCACATAGAGAAGGCAGATTCTACTTTTTAAGACAGGGGATTCAACACGCTTAGCATATTTACACATTGGGCAACTAAAGGAAGAATGATTCCTCTATGGTTTTAAAAATATAAATATAACTTAAATATATTTATAGACAAAGAAATAAAGGACTAAAAGGATATATCTAAGTGTTAATGATTAATTGTGAACTGACCTTTATGGCTGATTTGAATTTTTTACCTTCTGTCTCTGTAATTTTCTAAATCTTCTATGACATAGAAAAGACATTTTCTCTTTTAAAGCAAGACCAGGCAATATCAGATCTCTATTTGTGAAAGAGAATTAAGTATTTCTTAGATACTGCCATGGACCAGGAAATGAAAGACTGTGTTCAAACGGCCACTGTTAACCTATAGCAGGCCTTTGTTACTCCAAGTGTGGTGAACAGACCAAAAACCAGCTTGACTCAGAAGCATATTAGAAATGCCGAATCTCAGGCCACATTCCTGACCCACTTAAAGCAAAGAAGAGGATGAATCAGGAAATATTCTAGAGATATAAGCAAGAAGGGTTGACAACTGACAACAAGGAAAAAGTCATAAATGATTACAAACCTTGGAAACATTTCCAAACTTGGAAAAAGACAAAGTTATTAACAGAAATGGACTCCTGGAACAGGAGCCAGTTTTAAAGGAAAAAGATAAATGTGGTTTTAGATATGTAAGGTTTGAGAACTTGAAAGGTGGCCAGATGGATATGGTCAGTCTGGGACATGCAGAACTGAGAGCCAATAAGAAATATCAAGATTGGGTTTACAAATTAAGAGTCATCTGGGGCGCCTGGGTGGCGCAGTCGGTTAAGCGTCCGACTTCAGCCAGGTCACGATCTCGCGGTCCGTGAGTTCGAGCCCCGCGTCAGGCTCTGGGCTGCCGGCTCAGAGCCTGGAGCCTGTTTCCAATTCTGTGTCTCCCTCTCTCTCTGCCCCTCCCCCGTTCATGCTCTGTCTCTCTCTATCCCAAAAATAAAATAAAAACGTTAAAAAAAAATTAAAAAAAAACAAAACAAATTAAGAGTCATCTAAGAAAAGGAGATGATAGAAGCCAGAAAAGTGGTTAAGAATACACAAAGCAAGAGAAGAAATCCAAGCAAGATCCTCTGGTGGTGCCTGTATTTTGGAGACATGGGAGAAAGAGAAGTCAGAAAATGGGTTGCCAAAACTAAGATCATCATTAGTTTTGATGGGCACCTGGGTCGCTCAGTCAGTTAAGTGTCTGACTGGCTTGGGTCATGATCTCGCAGTTTGTGGGTTCGAGCCCTACGTCGGGCTCTGTGCTGGCAGCTCAGAGTCTAGAGCCTGCTTCAGATTCTGTCTCCCTCCCTGTCTGCCCTTCCCTGGCTCATGCTCTGTATCTCTCTCAAAAATGAATAAACGTTAAAAAAATTTTTTTAAACAAAGCTAAGATCATCAGAATATAGTGTCAAAAAAAAGCAAAGGACAGATATTTCATTACTATTCAATTCTCTCCTTTCACGACAAACTGGGAGTGATTTATACAATTACACTTAGATTAAACAGGACAGTGATGGATTAATGGAGATCTTAATTCTTGAGACATAAAATGGCCAAAGTATTTGGAGGGGGTAGAAGAGGAGAACACATATACCTTAGATTTCTCATCACCAGAAACCATCCAAAGTTATCTGGCTTTTGAAAAAAGTTTTGATGAAAATTTTATAATTTTTACATGTTGGAAATCAAACAAAACCATGACTTGTCTTTGTTTTATGCATTCATTTATTCATTCAGCAAACATTTTTTGAGAACTTAACTATGAGCCAGGCATTGAGGATACAGCAGATAACAAAACAAACAAAACCCTTTGACCTCATGGTGCTTACATTCTGAATGGGAGACAGGTAATAAACAGAAGAAATAAATAAACATATTGTATGTTAGATGGTGATAAGCATTATGGAAGGAAGGGATGAAGGAGTGCGGTGAAAGCTGAAATTTTAGAAGAGGCGAAAGAGAAGATCCCACTGAGAAGATGAAGAGAACTGAAGGAGGTCAGGCAGCCACTCCTGGAGATTTCTGAGGGAAGCACTTTCCAGGGCAAAGCTGTACTGGACCTTGTGTGGTCAAGGAGGCCAGTGTGGCTGGCCGGACAGTGAGGGGGTGGGTAGGAAAAGAGGACTGGGTAGGAAAGGTCATTGGAGGTTTTTGAGCATATAAATGACATTACTGGGGCAACCAGATGGCTCAGTTGGTTGAGCCTGACTTAGGCTTAGGTCAAGATCTCATGGTTCGTGAGTTTGAGCCCTGCATCGGGCTCTCTGCTGCCAGCTCGGGGCCTGCTTTGGATCCTCTGTCTCCCTCTCCCTCTGCCTCTCCCCCATGCTCTCTCTCTCTCTAAGATAAATAAACATTAAAAAATAAATAAAATGATATTATCTGACTTGGATTTTAACAGAATCGTCCTGGCTGCTATTTTAAGGACATAATGAAGTAGAAAAACCAGATGGGTAGCTACTGTAAATATCTAAGCAAGAATAATGGAGACTTGGGCCAGGTACCTTTGACAGTTTTATCTCTCTTCAGATAACTACCTTTTATATCCTTCTACTGTATCATACTGAAGTGGGTGGGAGGGAGGAGAGACTATGTATGTAGCAGAGAAAGGAGCACAAAACTCTCAACCCTTCTATTTCCATAAATCTATGTATTTTCACATTTATCTTCAGCTACACAGAAAAAAATGTGTAAGCAATTTAAATACTTAAATTTTATGTAAATATTTAATATGTTTAAATAGTATGTTTGAATCTTCTACATTATTACAGCCTCAAAGAAATGTTTTAAAAACCACTAAAAACCATTATCATCACCATGTCAATAAATTTATATTTAGGCCAAGGTAACAATAAAAGAACCTGATAATTTATTTTAAAGACATGAGCAATATTTTTGAAACACAGAGTCAGTGAATAATGACTAGTTCTGAAAGGTGTAATTTTAAACCTTCTACTCTTTCAATGCTATAATTAAAACAAAAATGAAAGTGAGATCAGAGAGTACACACACAGACCTGGGTCACACTGGGACATGTAATTTGCTTTTTCTATGGCTATGAGACCAAAGGCTCCATTTATTTGCTAAAGATTAAAAGGATAAACTGATTATTTCTTATTTTAAAATACAAAAGATACTAAGTCAAGTTAAATATTGATTGAGAGAAAAAGTTGTCAACATTGTATTAATATTACCCTACATCTGCAGAGGTTTACTGTTTACAAAGCACTTTCACTAGCATTACTAGTTTGAGCCTCACAATAGACTCATTAATATCATTGTTCTTAATTTACAGAGCGCTTAAGGGACTTATCCAAAGGCACTCAACTATCTAGCAAGTGCCAGAGCTGGGAAGAGAACCCTAACATCCTGGACCACTATTCTTTATACTATACCAAACTGTATTCTTTTCCAGATACAGATTTGGGGCATGTTTTTCTCATGCAGGGACCATCTGGGTCAGCAGGACCACAGGTGGAGAGCGGCACCTATGGAAAGGTGCCACGGTAAATGGTGTTATCCTCATTTAATGTTAGAAAAACCAAGAAACAGAGGTTTATTAAGTCAAACTCTGGCTCTGCAATTACTCAACGGCTGGTGTCATTTGCACTTACCCTGGTCTTTTTCACAACTTCTAGTTCCCTTATGGCTTGCTTGATCTCCAGGCCTGCTCTTTAACACCTCCACCAGAGGGCAGGCAGGGCAGGAAGAAGAGCATTGGTAACTGGTTTGCTCAAAAAGTTGGAAGAAGAACACTTAGGACATTATCTTAATTTAGATTTTTAGAGGCTTTCTAGATTTCAGTATTAATGCAAAATTTGCCACCGTTCTTCTATGTAGACCTAGAATACATAATGCAGTAAAATGATTTCAGAACTAGAGAATAGAGTTTTGTTATACATCTTCATATTTCCACTGCTGATTTTTCTAAATGATAAATATAAAATGTTAGATCTTTAAAAATATAACACTTGGGAAATAGATGGGCAATGAACAAGAACAATTCACAAAGAAGAAATTCAACTGGCAGTGAACATGGAAAAATGTTCCACTTCACAGGCAATTAAAGAGATAACATTTCAAACAAGAAACTGCCATGCTTCATCTGTCAAATTAATAAACATTATAAATGAGAATTACTGGTGAGGGTGTGGTGATATGGGCACTTTTATATATTTCAGTGGAAATGTAAATTGCTACCATCTTTCTGGAGAGAAATCTAACCCTTTAGACAGATGAATTCTGACAGAAGAAAATGGGAGTAATTTCCTACTACCTAAGTTGGAACTAAAATCTGGTTCTTTTTTCTCCAATCAAGAGAGCCCTTACACAGAGAACATGGATGTATGACACATGACAGAAAGAAACACAAGCTTTATGCCACCTCATGCCCTCCGCAGACTCGCTGAGATGGAAAGATGAGGGTCCCTACCCCCAGGAGAGAGTAAGGGCTATAACTCCCACCACTCCAGGGAAGAGGCAGAGTGTACTGGCAATGGAGAGAAATGGGAGTATCTGAAAGCCTGTGGGTCTCCCAAGATCACAGGGTCTGCTTCATAACCACAGGAGAGAAAAGTAATGCTTTCTGCAGGTTCCAGCAGGTGTAACACATCACAGTAACCAACATCTTACTATGCCAGGTTGTTCGAGAGAGAGAGAGACAGACAGACAGACAGACAGAGAGTCAGAGGGCTCTAACGTTTATGGGACTATTCAGATATATATGTGCGTCTTTTCAGTAAAGGTCAGGCTTGCCTGCTCTGGACCACCCATGCACCCTCAATTACACTGCTATCAGTCTTACAGGTCAAATACATCTGCCCCTAAATTCAAACTACTGGACTATGGATAGAGTTGCTTGATCTTGCTTATAACTTAACAACTACTAGCTTCAGCTAATTTAAAAGACAGTCTAGTGGTGAAGAGTCTCACTGTAACAGGAATTTGTTTGGAAGGCCCAGGCCCCCACAGAAAGAGAGACTCCCCTGTGTTCTAACTATGAACTCATCACAATTTATAATAGGGAGAAACTGGAAACAACCTAAACGTCCAATCAAGAGTGTGGTATGCACCCATTAACTGTTTCATCAAAATGGAAAATGCTTATTCTACGATAAGAAGTTAAGATACAGAATACAGAGGTTCCATTTCGACGTAAGCTGACTCTATCCTGTCCCACCCACTGAATGCAGACATAAAAGGGGCAGAATACATGAGTACTCTAAAATGAAATGGTAGCAGGCAGATAGGGAAAGAAGAAAACTGAAGTCCTGCTGAACCAGAAGGGAGTTTCCCATTTTCTTTTCTCTCCAGGGTCTCCTAGCCGGGACTCAGGATAGCCCAAAACCAGAAGTGGAAACCAGGCCTAGACAGAGAGAATTCCAGAAGAAGGCTCTAGTTCTGGTCCAATGAGCAAGAAAGGAGATCTCTAATGCTCCTAGAAAACAGAAAAAAAAATCACTTAGGTTTTTTTGTTGTTGTTTTTAATCTTTTTTTTCCCCCTTTTCTTATTTTTTCATCCTCCACACTCCAGGCAGCCACAGTAATGAGAGCATGGGGGCCGCGGTACCTAAAACTCTAAGGGAAGGCACATTTATTGAGAAGGGAAACCAGTGTGAGGTTCTGGGAGGGGAATTACAGCATCAGAATTGGAACAGCAGACATGGCTGGGCAAACTGCCTGTCAGAGATGCCATGTGGACTTGTGTCAGGTAGGTGGAAATGTACATCTAGAACGCAGAGGAGAGGTCTGGGTGAAAACTTTAAGTTTGTGAATCATCTGCAGTCAGAAGTTATTTAAAGCTAAATACTCTAGATGTTTTCTCCTTATTACTGAGTAACAGCTAATTACTGAGATTTTCTTACAGCTTTTTTTTTTTAACCACTGAAGAAGGAAATAAAGTGATTATTATAATTCTAAAGATGGAGTCTATATTACCACTGGGAAAAATAGATTTGATTCAGTCCTAGGCCCTGGCTCCTAAATGAGTCGTCGTTAGGCTCTGCTTCTATGCTCCCTAAAATAATTTCGGAAAACTATAGTCCCTCACACATTTTAAAATTTGCACCTAAACTTTTTCATCATAAATTTAAATAGTGGCAAAGGATGTGTACCATAACTATTGACATTATTATATAATTATATATCTGGTGTATTATAACTATTGACATATTGTTTAAAAAACTATTATGTGATTCTGGGGCGCCTGGGTGGCTCAGTCGGTTAAGCGGCTGACTTCGGCTCAGGTCATGATCTCGCGGTCCGTGAGTTCGAGCCCCACGTCGGGGTCTGTGCTGACAGCTCAGAGCCTGGAGCCTGTTTCAGATTCTGTGTCTCCCCCTCTCTGACCCTCCCCCATTCATGCTCTGTCTCTCTCTGTCTCAAAGATAAATAAACGTTAAAAAAATTAAAAAAAAAAAACAAACTATTATGTGATTCTTAAATATAATCCGGGAATGTAAACACCAGAGATGTTTAATTCCCACATCATTAAAAAAATACATAGGAACAAATTCTTTTATGTCAGAAATTTCACATCATGTTTTCTCCTTAACTCTTATTTCCATTCCATTTTCCCCACAAAATTTTATTTTAATATGGCATATTTTTGATGCCTGAAATCCATGATTGGTCATTCTATCATAATTCTTTACAATAAAAATACACATACAAATCGAAATGTTCTCTGGTTCTATAATGCTGGCATTTCTTTCTTCTGTCGTTACCATTATAGTTATTTAATGACAACACTGATCAACCACCACGAATGACACATTTACATAAATGTTAAATATAGGTTAACATTTTACTGTCAGCATATGTTTTAATGAGATAACGGGGCCTTTTTTTCAATGAGCTTTTGTATCTGTGGGTTAATATTACTTATGCTAGAATTAGACTTACATGTAACTTTCTTTTTTAATGTTCAAGTGCCGAAAAACTTAGTCACATACAAAAGAACACAAGACTGAAAGTTTTATTACAGCAATGACCTACAATTATTTGAACCCCTTCAGTTATATAATTGAAATCACATAGTAATGAATCATAAAAATTATTTTTTAATGAATCACCAGCTGACCGCTCAATTAGCTTCCCCTTTAATTCTGTTCAAAGTAAAGAACTGAAAACCTCCTGAGTTTCAAAAGGATTATTATAATTATTCCCCCCTCTCACCATCCAAGCCAATAATTTGAATTGTCTTCTTGTCTGCCACTTTAGAGGTTCTTCCACCCCAGGGCAATGGGCTGCAGTAACCTCTCCAGGGGGAGGGAGGCCCTTTCATAATGAGGGAGGTGGAGGGGAGGGGGATTATGCAAGAGGCAGTGACAAAGGAAACAGCACCACACCTCAAGGATATCTTCAGGCAGATCAGTTTTAAGGACAGTGAAGGAAGCTGAAGATCCAGAAACTGGATTCCATCCAGGAAATCTTTCTTTAGGCCCTTGGCTTTATAGAAATCTTGTGCACCCTCAGTGGGTTTAAACTAACTAGCATTTCCTCTTGCATCATGCCCTATTTGGGGGGGGGGGGGGTTGGAGGGAAGGAGACATAAGAAAGAAAAATAAGTCCACGAGTATTTTCTGAGGGTTGTAGGAAAAGCCAGTATGATTCCTAAGGATAAGTTAAATTCCTCAGGGAAAGGGATCTGGGGGTGGAGGGAGGAGAAAGGAGTGGTAGGTGTCCATAGTTAGAGTAATTCAGGGAATGTACCTACCCTCTATCCCCAAAAAGTGGTAGAACCTTGAGGTAAGGCCTCTCCTTCCTGAATCAGCACCCTGGGACCGCACTTCATTTATTCAACAAACATTTGCTAGGCACTTTCTCTGTTAGCCTCTGCACCAGGGCTCAGGGACACAAAGACCTTTATAGTCCTGGTCTGCAAGGAGCTCACACAAGTTGATTAGGATTCAGGCTCTTGACTGAGGTGCCCCAGCCCAGACAGCCCCCCTCCCTGCTTCCTGCCACATGCTCTCTGCATCCTGGGATTTCTCCCCATAACCCTGTTCCCTATTCCACCACCACCGAAAGCCATGTTCATTTCATTTCCTCCACGCTTTCAGGTAGACTGGGCCATACCACAGTGGGTGATGCAAATGCATTATGATGAGTTACAGGGATGTCCGAGATAGCTCTTCAGCTCCTCAATAAGTCAGGGTGGGCCGGGGTAGGAGAGGGGATGAGACCTAGGCATTAGGAGGCCACAGTTCAGATATCTCCAGGCAACAAGAAGCTCCTTTCAGTGTGCTGTACGAACGTTATCATATCTTTATGTGTGCTCTGGTTTCAAATATGTTGGGAAGCACTGTAAGTTAATGTATCAAACTATGGACCAATAGGTCTGAGCAGAAAAGTCCAGATACACTCCCCGGAAGCTACATTTGTCCTACAGACATCCTTGGTGTGGCAGATACAGTGCTTCACAATTAAAAACTAATTTACTTCCAACATCAAAAAATTTCACACAAAAATCTAGATATCTGGCTTCTCATGAAAAGTTGCTATGAGCTATACAGCAGTCAACTGGCAATGAGTACCCTTTGAGATAGGGTTTGCCCTTCCACTGTACCTGCTTTTTCTCATCCACACTCTTTGTATGCCCTCCCCAATTTCATCATCACTTAAGCTTATTTCTACTGCCTAGAATACAGTCGGCCCTCATGCTACCTTCACACTCACCATGGGTGCACATGAGCAGACACACATACCTCTGTCTCAGTAATAATACCCTCAAAAGTAGAACACAGAAATGCAATTTAATGATTTTTATTCTAGAAATGATAATGTGTATTAAAGAAAATTTAGAAAAATCACAAAAATGAAAGGCGAAATTATTAAATCATCAGAGATCCTGCTGCTCTGAAATAACTAATGTTACACCTTAGAATGCATTTTTTCTGATTTCTTTTTATTGTTACATACATAAGGCTGCACAGATACATATGAAGTTCCAAGTGGGCTTATATTTTCGTGTACTTCGAAGCCATTATTATTTTCCTATGTGTTTAAAACCACGGGATTTGTTTCATGGTCATGATTTCCTATTGATAAAAATCACCCACTTCTCACGATATTGTTCAGCATATCACATACACTGAACCTTATATAATATTTTAATTATATAGATGTAGAACTCTATATAATTGATGTAGAACTCATTATACCCATTAACCTTACATAACATTTTAAACTTATCTGAAATTGCTTTGAGCTTCTCAGAGCTTAGTTAATAAAATCTATCACTTGGTTCTGGTGGAGAGCAGTATGCTATCACTTTTGTTTTCACGAGCTCAGATGTCTACAACAGCCAACGGGCACAGCCTGTAATTTTACCATGTCACTTGTTTCATGTGTGTGCTGAGATGTAGCTGGTTAAAGGATGAAACTAAGGACCAAAGACCCCTTCTCCCTGCCCCTCTGATGCCCAGAAACTAAATCAGTCCCTAGACTTCAAGAAGAAAAGAGAAGTCCAAATTGAGCTTAAGTTTCTGTCACCTCTCATTCTGGCCTTCCTACTTGGCCTGATACAGAAATTAAGTCTATAACAGGCACATAGAAAAGTGAGGACGTACTTCCTGGTCGCCTAAGCTTATGGAGATTTACCCTTGTTTCACCTATTGCTTCTCCCTGCTTCTCCCATACTATTTGGGGGCTTGCATTTTTTACAGAATTACATTGTGAACATATAAATAAAATTTCTAATAACTTTACAGAAGTGGTTGAAGAGTTACAATTAATAGTTACCTCTTCTGTTTTAATTGGAATAAATGAAGTTTCAGAGATTTTAAATGCCACTGATAACTATAGCTTGAGAGAGGGGAAATCATGAATTTATGAAATTATGATGAGGGGAGAAGGCTTCCTTTTCTTTTCAAGTAAAATAAAAAAAGTATCAGGAAAGATTGTTGATGTTTTAATGTTCTTTTTAGTCAAGTAGAAAATAATGTTTACTGTGAGTTTTTGGTACTGTTTTGGGCCACTTTTCTGTTGTATATCGTAGCAGCTTCAATAGTACTACAAATAATGTGAATCAGTGTCCTAATTAATCCCATTTTATTATTATTTTTTTTTTAATTTTTTTTCCAACGTTTATTTATTTTTGGGACAGAGAGAGACAGAGCATGAACGGGGGAGGGGCAGAGAGAGAGGGAGACACAGAATCGGAAACAGGCTCCAGGCTCTGAGCCATCAGCCCAGAGCCTGACGCGGGGCTCGAACTCCCGGACCGCGAGATCGTGACCTGGCTGAAGTTGGACGCTTAACCGACTGCGCCACCCAGGCGCCCCATTAATCCCATTTTAAAGTGGCTCCATGTTCAGGGGTGCCTGGGTGGCGCAGTCGGTTAAGCATCCAACTCTGGCTCAGGTCATGATCTCGTGGTTCATGGGTTCGAGCATCACTTTGAGCTCTGTGCTGACAGTAAGGAGATTGCTTCAGATCCTCTATCTCCCCACCCCTCCACCCCACCGGTCTCTGCCCCACTCATGCTTTCTCTGTGTCTCAAAATAAATAAGCTTAAATAAATACAGTTGCTCCATGTTGAACTTTTCCTTCCTGGATTATTTATGCATTGGTTATTTTAACATACATTTATAGAATGCCTGCTCTGTGCCAGACACTATATTAAGTGTGGAGAGAAAAGAACGAACAAGGTAGTCCTTCCCTTCCAGAGTCTCAGTGTAGGGCGATGGAGAATTGCACTACGGTGCAGTGATGAAGTGCCATCTAGAGTAGAATGAAGCATGCGATTGGGCATGCATGGGAACACACTGGTGTCACACTGACCTGAAAGAGTGATTAAAGATGAAAAAAGGGAATGGTGGTGGAGTCATAAAGGATGAGCAAGAGTTTCCCAGATGAAGACATGGGGAAGGTCTTTCCAAGCAAGAGGGGCAGTATGTGCAGAGAAGTGTGGTGAGAAAGCAAGGTGAATTAAGGGAACTAAAATCTGTTTCAGCACGACCAAGAAATTAAGTTGGAGAGAGGAAGACTTTGTTGGCAGGTGTGGCTAAACAGAAGAGCAGACCATAATGAATCTTTTATGTCATGCTGAAGGTTTGCATTTTATTCTCAAGGAAATGGGAATTTGCTGATGGCTTTTTAACAGTGGAGGGCCAGACTCACGTTTGAGAAGGTCAGGGCTTGTTGACAGAATGGAGAATTAATGTTGGGAACAGGGAGCTGGTGCA